TAGGCCGTAATGTAGGGGCCTAAATAATTGCCCATACTGTTTGGGGGGTTCCTTATTAGACTTACAGCAGGTTGGGCCCCAAATAACCCTTTGCTAACTATTAAGGCCCCTACATTTGGCCGTATCTGCCTCGATAGAACATTGCAGACCATCCGCGCAGACCCTTAAACCCTAAAGTCTAAACCCCAAACCCTGAAACCTAAATACTCCCAGAGCACCCAGCCCTAATACAGAAGCCGTCTTCCAGAGCTAAGGTTCAGGGTTTAATTTGGGGTTTAGGGTTTAGGGTTTAGGGTATGGGGTTTAGGGTGCCTTGCTATAACTAGTCTATTATACCCCAAACCCTTCTTCTGATTGTTAAGACCCCCATGCAAAGCCCTTGCAAGGGGCAAAACCCTGTAAATAAAACCCTACAGGTGTTAGGGTTTAGGGTTTAGGGCAGCCCTAGCAAAAACACCGCTCTAGTTTGCCAGGCCCCTTTACTGAAGCCTAAACCCTAAACCCTATCCCTAAACCCTAAACCCTAAACCCGTTTGGGTGGCATGTACCGGCGCAGCGCCGGAGAGTTGCGAAGGTCAGGACTGTGCTGAAGCCACTGGAGGTTGTGAGCGCGTTTCTCCCAGTGCTGGCTCATACGATGGGTGTCAGGTGTGGGTCCCAATTGTGGCCAAAAGGTTTAGGGTTTAGGGTTTAGGGTTTAGGGATTTGACAACGCTTTTGGGGCCGGTTGGCCACAAGGTAGTCTCTAACAGTGGCTTGTTCGAGAGGGACGAGAATGGTGATGTGTTGTGTCAAAGCTTAAGTGCCCTTACAAAAAAAAACTAAAGCCTAAACCCTAAACCCTCTATATGCCTTATATAAAACCCCGGAGCCTTCTGACAAAATCTTATCAAACCCGAATTGACTTGAGAGGAAGCCCTAAACCCTAAAGCCCTAAACTCATAGCCCTATGCCGTGGATGGCAAAGAGCTTGAGACCTACAAGCCCTTATTTAGGGTTTAGGGTTTAGGGTTGAGGGTTTAGGGTTTAGGGTAGGACCCCTAATTTGGTTCGTTTTATCCCTTAAGGGGCAAATGACCCTTGAAAATAGGGGTCCTATTCACTTGCATCATGAATCCTTATATGGTGTGTATATATATATATATATGGACCCTAAACCCGAAACCCTGAAGCCCTAAACCCTAAACCCATTTAGGGATCTTTTCGTCCGTAAGGTCTATGAAGCCCCGCAGAGTACCTCTCGTAGCAACCAGCCATAAGTAATAAGTCAAAACCCTAAACTCTTTATAGAACCCTGAACCCTATAAAGCCTGAACCCTAAACTTCAGGGTTTAGGGTTTAGGGTTTATAGGGTTCAGGGTTGAGGTTCAGGGTTCAGGTATGTAAACCCTAAACCCTAAACCCTAAACCCTAAACCCTAGCCCCTTGACCCTAAACCCTAAACCCTGAGACCCTAAACCCTAAACCCTAAGACCCTAAGACCCTAAGACCCTAAGACCCTAAGACTGTGGAGTCTGGGGCTTTCTAGGGTTTCTATCGCGTCTCAGAAGGAATAGGGCAGAGCCCTCAAGGGCGTGTTGCAGGGTATGTTGGGACTATACTGTACTATACTATACGATGCGATACTATCCTATACTATACTATACTGTACTATACTATACCATACCAGCAGTTGGGGACTTCTCAGAAGGCTTGACATGGTGCGGGCCAGTGTGGTCCCGACGGCCGTCTTTGTTCCGGTACCGGGTTTGGGTTTTTCCCAAACTCACAACCCTACACTTTATAACCCTACACCCTAAACCCCGCTTGAGAGTGTAGCCTTGGGACTACATGCAGACGGACGGAAAAGGGCACCCTAAAACAAAAAGCAAACAAACAAACGCAAAGCCCCAAACCCTTCACCCTCAGCCCTTTTTGGATAGCTCTCTAAATTAGGGTATCTTTAAGTAAGGGTGCCGTACTATGTTGGGGACCTAAAGAGGGACCCTAATTTCGAGAACTACCCTATATATTTCTTGGGCCTTGCACCCTGCACCCACAACACTCTGACTCCGTAAAGCCTCACCAGCGCAACCTGAAGTAAACCCAAACCACATGCCAAACCCTAAACCCTAAACCCTAAACCCCGAAGCCTACATCCCAAACCCTCGGGTTTAGGGTCTGGGGTTTAGGGTTTAGGGTTTAGGAACCCTGAACCCCGAACCAGAAATCTTCAAACCTGCTTCGACCCCTTACTTCTTCCTCACTTGGGGTTTAGGGTTTAGGGCTTAGGGTTTAGGGTTTGAAGTAGAACTGGATATGAGTAGTTCTCTTAACTAGGGTCCCTTTTAGGGTACCTTTTAATGAGGTTGCCGGACTATTTTGGGGACCTAAGACCGAAGGGACCCTGATTTAGAGAACTACCCATATGAACCCTGAGTATCGACTAGGGGTTTAGGACTAGGGTTGCAAGGCCCTACTATAGGCTTGAGGGTTTAGGGTTTAGGCTTAGGGGCCGTAATGGTGGGATCCCTATCATACTCATTTTTCAGGGAGGAGGCTTAGTAATCAGAGGCCTGCATTAAGCCCAACACCAAACCCTAAACCCTAAACCCTAACCGCACCCACCAAACTCACCAAGCCCGAAACAAAAACCCAAGCCCAAAGCCCGCTAGACAACCCAAAGCCTAAACCATCCAAGACTTAAGCGCACGAAACCCCAAACCCCCGCAAAACCCACCAAACCCAAAACAACGATCCCCCCTCTCGAAAACAAGCCCACTCAAAGCCTGCATTGTTTGCCCCGGCAGCCTTGGCCTCAAGTGACGAATTAGTCTACTTGCGGGGATATAAAGGTATAGTTATAGAGGCCTTCAGAATTTCAATAGGGTTTGGGGGTATATTATACTACCCAATAGGGCCTACTATTCTAATTACTTAGAACTTAGACCCCTGTTTTCAACATTAACCATTGCACCCCAAAGTTCATGTGTGAAATGCCGATGTTGTTGGTGGTTTAGACGGCTTGGGGTTTAGGGCTTAGATCTCAAGGTCAAGGTTTGGGGCGCTTGCAACCTTTGGAGTTTTGGCTGTGCGTTTTAGGGTTCAGGGGTTTGGTGGTTTATAGTCGTTAAAGGGATCTACAACGGGTTCTCTGCTTCATGAGCGAGGTTCGGGGTTGTGCGAAGCTAGTGCTGCTTGGAAGCTGTTGTTGCGGTCGAATATAGGCGCCTGAAAACATTGCCTATAATCTTTTGGGGGTTCCGTATTAAAGTTATCCGATTATATACCCAAAAGACCCTATTCTTATTAAGGCTCCTCCATTAGTCTATGTAGGACTCTATGATATTGTACCCTAAACCCTAGACCCCTAAACCCTAACCCTAAACTGTATATAGATAAGCATCACAACACTTCCAGCAGCCCAAGACTGCGATGACCTCCATCGGAGGCCTTTATGAAGTGCCCGTAATATTGAGAAGCCTCCAGTTCAAGTGGACGGCGGTCCCAAAGAGCCCAAGGGGCCCCTGAAGTAAGGAACAGACCTTAAATCAAAATATTAAGGCCGCTATAGTTTGAGATATATTCCTTAGTTAAGCGGTATTGGGCTCGTTGGGTCTTCCAAACGTAGGAACCAGAAACACCCAAGCCGGGATCCTTTAAAGTAGCCCTTTAGAGAAAGGCATAGAGGAACCATAAACCCCCAAACCGCAAGAGAGGATTCGAAAAAATGTGAGGCTTGCGGGTTTCAGGGCCTTGGCGTTTCGCACGTTCAGGGGCTCAAGCCCTAATCAGCCTGCGTGACGAAGGGAAGGCCTAAGCTAGCAGGGAAGCAACCCTAAACCCTAAACCCTAAACCC